CCTGAGAGGTCACTGTGTGAAACTGTGAACATAAAACCTGAGTTTGGGTGGAGACCCCAAGATGTTGGAAATGTCAGAACTATGGGACATCTACTGAGGAAAGCTGTACATGGTGTGGAGGTGGCTCAGGAGAGAGGCCGTGCATGCTTCAGGCAGTGGAGCTGGGGAGCCCGAATTACTCCATGGTGAGCCTCAGATAGTAGACACGGGCCTTCAGGATTTGGTGTTTGCTCTGTTGGGTTTTGGTCTTTCTTTTGGAATGGGGATGTTTATTCATCATTATATATTAGAAATATGTAACTTGCTTTGGGTTTTCTAGGAGCTCACAGCTAAGAGATTATCTTGAGTCTCAAATAAGACTTAGACCTCAGACTTTGTAAATAAATGTAAAAGTCAATAGTGTAGGAAATGTTAAAGACTATGGGGGCTGAATATATTTTGCATTATAAGATGGTCATCAGTCTATGGGGGACAAGGAGTAAAAGGTTGAGATTTAAAAGGAAAGAGATGGCTTAGTGGTTACGAACACTGACTGCTCTTGCAGAGGACCAGAGTTTGATTCCCAGCCCCCACAGGGCAGCTATGAACCATCCTTAACTCCAGTTCCAGGGGAATCTGAAGCCCTCTTCTGACCTTCATGGCATTGTATGACACGGGTGCACTCACATACATGCAGGCAATACACTCATACACATGAAATAAAAATAATAAAAATATATTTTTTAAAAGTGGCATGTTTAGGGGCTGGAGATATGACTCAGTGGAAAATGGTTGGCACACAGACCTGAAAACTCTGAGTCTGATCCCAGATCTCATAAAGACAAGTCATCTTCTGAGCTCCACATATGTGCTGTGTTACATGCACTCTGTGTACACATACAGAGAAACAGACACACACTTTAAAAAGTGATACATTTGGATGTCAAGTTGACAAAGGGTAGACTTGTGATTGCTAATATTGTCAACTTGATAGGATCTAGAATCATCAAAGACACAAGCCTCTGGACATGCCTGTGAGGGATTATCTATCCGAATTAGGCTAACCAAGGTGGAAAGATCTACCTCAAACGTGGGAGGCACCATTCCCAGGGCTGGATTCTGTACTGCCAAAAAGAAAGCTAGCTGCTCCTCAGTAGTCACTGCCTTTCCCCGGACTGGACATGATGTGACCAGCAGCCTCACGCCTATCTCCATGACATTCCTGCCGTATTGGAGATACCCTCAAACTGTGAGCCAAAATAAGCCCTTCCATCCTTAAGTTTCTTTCACCAAGTATTTTTTCTTAGCAATGAGTAAAATATTAATAATCAGTATACCAATCAACCAATAAACAAAAACAAACCAAACCAAACTGCTGCCACCAACAACAAACACCCTCTAGTGTGACTTGCTAGCAAAGATGATGTGGCCATGTCTATTGACTCTGAACCTACTCAAAGGAGACCATTCAATTAGCTGCATAACAGTGGTCTGTAAGATGATTAGGGCAGGCTACAAAGTATGTACATGGGAAAGCTGGGTGTCATCTGGTTTGTGGTATAACAGACCACCCAGGAAGCAGTCCCTTTGACAGGGTCTAAGTCCCAACAACTGATCTGCTATCCTGCAAGCCATAGAAATTTGATAAACATTGGACACTGCAATCTTTAGAGCGTAATTGTGTTTTTAATCTTTTTTCTTTTTGTATGCTGTATGTGTACGTATGTATGATATGCTCCTTTGTGTGAATTCAAATATGCATGCAGCATGGCCTATGAGCAGAGGTCAGACAACCTTGGGTGACTTCTTGCTTTCATCTTGAGACAGGGTCTCTTTGTTTGCCTCTCGGTGCTCCAGGCTAGCTGGCCCATGAGCTTCTGAAGGACTCAGCTGTTTCTGCCTCCCATCTTTCTGCATGTACACTGGGACTGCAGGTATAGTCTACTGTGCCTGGCTTTACATGGGTTCTTAGGTTAGAACTCAGGTCTTCATGCTTAGGTGACAACTGCTTTACTCATAAGCTATCTTCCCAGTCCCAATTGTGACTTTAAAAAAATGTTTTAGACTCAGCAAGATGGCTCAGAGGACAAAAGTGCTTGCTGCATAGGCCTGAAGAACTGATTTTTAGCTGTCCTCTGATGAAGGTCAGTTATGGCATGCATGTACCTGCACTCACATTCTCTCTCTCTCTCTCTCTCTGTCTCTCTCTCTCTCTCTCACACACACACACAATTTAAAAAAATTGTTGTATGTCGTAAGGACACAGGACTTAATCTCTTGGAGGATTAGTATAGTTTTACAAAACTCATATTCAATTAAAATATTTGCTCCAATGGAAAGCTATGGATTTTCCTGAAAATGGCAAAACAAGCTGTGGGCATCTTATACATGTTAATAGGACAGTGAAGTTTATCCTTGGCTCCTTCAGTAGTTGTCCATGGCCTCTTGCAATCGAACCTGTGCTCATACTTAAGCCCAAGGAAATTCTGTAATCTTTCAAAAAAATTATTTCATGTGTGTGTATGAGAGAGATATGTGGGTCATCAGGCATATGGAGATCAGAGACAATTTGCGGAGGCTGTTCTCTCCTTTCACCTTAAGTGGGTTCTGGGGATGGAACTCAGGTTGCCAGGCCTGTGTGCAGGTGCTTTACTCACAGACTGGTCTACATAATTTTTTTACATATACAAAAATTAGTATTATCCTAGAGACACTTCAAGTAAGATGTTAGATATATTCTATCCTAACACTGCATTTTAACGCCTTATAAAGTCAGAGTACTGCAAATCTTGGATGTTTAAAACATTCTATTATTTGGCATTGTATGTACCATCAATACCTTCATATGTATTAAAACTATTTTTTAGGATAGGTGAGATGGCTTAGCATGTAGAAGCGCTTACCACACAAGCCTGGAACCCATGGCTGTGGCATGAGTGTGCCTGCATGTGTGTGCAAGTGCACACATGCACACACAAAATCCTTTAACTTTCCCACATACCATCAATAATCAAATTACCTAGTAAGATATCCCTCATATTTTAGTGTACCTTTAAGCCAAAAACATTTCAGTGCATATATATTGCAAGTACCCTAGGCCAGTGGAGAAAGGACAGACTTGGGTGGCTACTCACTGAAGTGCTAGTCCACTAACTCTTCTGGTGGCTAGATATCCAGATTCTATGAACAATCCATTCATTTGCTTCCACTGGCTGTTCATTTTAGAGCTACATAGCTGTCTTGTCCTCAGGGCATCTAGAACAGGGGCAGCAAAGTAAAGGCTATCAATGCAGCCCCCAGGTGAGGACACTGGCAAACAACAGGAATTCAAACTCTATCCCAACTCAACCTCCTGAATAAGTACTGCAGGATCAGAAGACTCAGTACCCTGCTTAACAAGTCAAGTGGATTCTAGATTTTCTATCTAAGTCTTGTGCACTTAAAGGTGAAGTAAATTCTGAGAAAACTTCAAAAGGGGCATGGTGGTTACAGCTTTAGTACCAGGGAGGTAGAGCCAGGCCAGCCGGCCTCATCCACATAAGGAATTCCAGGCCAGCTGGGGGGCGGGGGCTGTCTCAAAAAGACCCAAAACAAAAGATGTTCATTTTGATCAGTTTGCTCTTCTCCAGGCATAAAAGGCTCTGGCAGGTTACCTTAGACCCCTCCCTCTGAGGATGATGTAGTAGGAGAATAGAATGGACCTGGAAGCCTGCTGAGGTAGTCAGGAGGTATCAGCCCCTACTGAATCTCATCTGTGAGTTTTGTGTTCTAAAAACCTGACTGGTGAGTGAGCTGGCTACGAGTTCAGTGAGGATCCACCCAGATGTGCTCTCTACCACACACTATGTGTCACTGTTGGCTCAGTGGGATCAGCACATCACTGACTGTATCATTAACAACACATGGGTCACAGACGGAAACTTTTATTCTTTAAAAACAACTGTTTAGAGAAAAAAGAATCAAAATCGTAGTTGTTGGCAATCACAGCACACATTATCAGAACAGCACATGCTATTAAGAATTCTTATTCTGAGATGCTCCTTGCTGGATGATGTGCTCCTGTTCTATGATGACATGAACACTGCACATGATGAACGTGTTCTAGTGGGCAATAGATTGAAGATTCTCAAATGCACAGGAGCCTTGGATTACTCTAAACATTTTAATTTTTGCAATAGAGAGGATAATCTGATTATTTTCTAGAGCTGATAAAGGCCACCTACCTCATCCTGGCAGGCCTTCAGACCAGTATGAAAAACCACCAAAAAAAGGCACTTGAAAACACACTTGACAGGAATTGACACCAACACGAGTGCTTAGGTCCTGCACAGAACTGTCCCACGGTTCAAATGACTAGTACATCCATTCTCTCCCTATACCCTATAGGCAGCACATTCTGTTTGTGTGTCTGGAGAGGGGCAAAAAAATTAATGGTTTAATTAAATAGTACACACAGATTCTAATCATTTTATTTATACAGACAGTAAGATGGGTGAATCAACGCAAAAAGTAGCCTACTAACCTTCCTATGTACCAAAAAGGGGGAGAGTAGTAAAATAAATGCTTCGATCTTACTCAGGTCATCAACTATTAAAATAATAACATCTAGCATTTATAAAAGCTTATTCCACTGCAGAGAACAGGGAACATTTTTGGTAATACAAATCTCAAAAGCTCACCTCCATATTGCTTAGGTGGAAGAGAATGGGATGGAGGGAATGTCTTCCTTCCAATTTTGCCCCTATATTCCTTCCTTTCTTCTACTGTATGTTTAGTAATATTTTAATTTTATCATATATATATATATATACATTTTTTTTTTTTTTCAATATGCTGAAATTCTCAAGGTATTTACAGAGTATTTACAAGTACTCAGAGAGTTTAAACAGAATTACCAGAGTAATTTATTTCTGCACACTGGAGTTGCAGTTTTGACTGAACTTATTGTGTCAGAAATGAAAAGGCTCACTCCTTCCCACAAAGAGGAGTATAGCCATTCTTAGGACAGGAAAAAAATACAATTTGTAATAACATTGAAAGTTTAATGATCAATTGCAGAATGCTGTGGAACAAACATTAATTAATCTTTGAAGGGTTACGAGCCAGGCTCTGTACATTTTTGTTTTTTGGCTGCTGGCTCCTCAGCCTTATATGAGTCTAAAGTGCCTGCACTGGACTTGAGGCTGGGGTCTGCTCGAAGGCTGTCCAAGACAACAGTGAAGCCTGATAGAAGGTACCCTCCACCTCCGCTCATCAGCAGTTTGGGATGACTTCGATCTGGCAAGACCTAATCAAGACAGAGAAATAGGAATTCACGGCTCGCAGCATTCTTAGAAACCGTGCTAACGGCATGCTTAGCAAAAACCAGGATTTAAATGACAAATTCTCTTAAAGATTTAAAATGATGAATTTCTAAGGAGATTCTTTTACAGCAGTTCAGAGGAAATTGGAGAAACTAAGTGATTTAAACAAAACAAAACTGAAGCCTTTCTCTCAAATTGAAGGCCAGTTTATGTGGAGAAGGGGTCTTCTACCTATATATATATTTCCAGTCTTCTACCTATACCACCTAACTGTTTCTTC